ATAAAAATCAAGGTGTCAAGAGTCAAAAATCTTGTTGATGATTTACGGTTATTTCTTTTTCAAATTTACCACATTAACTCACTTTAAGAACAAGAATTAAAATTGTACAAGCTTTGCACTGTTAGGAATGGATTCTAGTCTGAAATTAGAATTAAGGTTAACATACAACTTCCAAGTGTTGGCACTCTTAGCCTGAAAATTCTTTAAAGTATGTGGATCCTGGTTTCCTATGCCCTCAAAACTAGACATGCAAAAGGTGTTTCATTTTTCTTTTTGTCTTGTTTTGGTTTTCAAAGTTATATTACTCTGCAAATAGTTTAGTAATATTCCCCAAAGAAAAAAATCCTGTCTAAATATTACAACAAATTATGTTTATAAGAAATATGTTCTTAATAAAATTGGTATATGTAAACGAAAGACTATATTAAATGCTCAAGAGAAATGAATGTTAGAATTTCTCTTGATAATTTTTAGAGAATAAAGAATATTAAAAACTTCATTTTACCTTCTGCATAGAGTTCTCCTGAGATGATTAATAGGATAATAACAGCCAAGTCTTTTGATCCCATCTTCAGCGGTGTGCTTAATACAGGTGTTACCAGTGCTACAGCACCAGGGACCCCTTGTTAAGTACACAGTACTTCTCCTGAAAAAAAAAGTTAATTATTTACGACATCTGTCTAAGTCCCTTTGTAACAAGCCTTGCATTTCATTTAAAATAGTTTAGAAGAATACTGAAAATACACAGTTGTGTTAACTGACATTACTTTTCATGCCACCGTCCACGAAGAACACACTAAGCGGTCAGGGCGACAGTAAGAGCAGCACAAATCATTAACTCAGGCTGCATAAAAAACAGGGCACGTTTTCAACTTGAATTCCCTGTTGTAAGGTCAGAGAGTGAAGTTCACTTGTGGCCATTGATTTCTTCACCACCATCGATCAAATGAAAGGATGACCTTAGTTACGTGAGATAATGGGTCCCTGATATTAACATTCGGTGCAGTCTAGACTGCACTGCGAAAGGGAAAGGCGATTGTCCCGAGCAGTGATGGAGTACTTTCAGTAATACTATTGATGGCAGTGTCTGCCGGTGAGAGGCTTGTATGCCATGATAGCCGATGAGATAAGTGGTGTGCTAAATTATCATTTATGGAAAATGTTTTCAGCGTCCAGTAGGCACCAGGACATGTTCTAATCTTGGGTATACAGAGGTGAAAAAATAGATTCCAGTGATGGCCTTCATGGAGTTTACATGCTAATGGGTTTTAGTTTAAACTACAAAATAATACTGTGATCTGGGAACTACTATCATTTCTTTTTTTTTTAAGTTGAAGTAGTTACGATGTGTCACTTTCTAGTGCCCAGCACAGTATCTCAGTCATGCGTATACATGCGTATATTCCTTTTCATGTTCTTTTTCATTAAAGGTTATTACAAGATAGAACATAGTTCCCTGTGCTATACAGAGGACTTTTTTTTTTATTTCTTAAATCTATTTTTATCTTTGGTGGCTAACATATGTAAATCTCAAACTCCCAATTTGGGAACTTTTATTAAAATGCAACATATGAAGAGAGAAGCACATGTGCCATGAATGCACAGATCAAGGGATTCTCACAAACTGAACAAATCTATGAAATCAGCATCCAAAGGAGAAGTAGGATACACCCTACCCATCCTGCCTGAAGCCATGGCCTTGGTGCACCCACCCCCAGGGTAAACACAACTTCTAGCAGCAGAGGTCAGTTCTGCCTGGTTTTATTCCACGCACCTCAGATACATCCTGTGTTCTCTGTCCAGCCTGCTGCAGAGTCCCGAGAACATTCTCTACCGGAGGACCATCAGATTTTCTGACATGATAAAGGTAAAAAGCCTAAAGAAAATATGAGTATACCAGGAAGAGACTAAAGGAAATGAAAACAGTGAGGATTTTTAATAAAAGCATATTTTTAAACAGTCACCTCCTAGTGGTATTCTAATTCAATTAGTTTTAACATTCTAAATATTATTGGACTGTGCACCATGTGAACAACTCAAATTCCGATGACTTTTATGGGGGAAAGTGGTAATTAGGTTTGTTTGTTTATTTATTCATTTAATGGAGGCACTGGGGATTGAACCCAGGACCTCATGCATGCTAGGCTGCGCTCTACCACTGAGCTGTGCCCTCTACCCACCATGATGTTTTAATGAGCAGGGTTCCATCAAAATGGTTGCAATGGCATCAGACCGGTGTAATTCAAATCCTGACCAGTCACTGGCATTCAGCAAGTCACTTAACATCTAAGCCCCTGTTCTGCCTGTGAAGTGGAAATAATGACACACACCTGACTGGGTTTTATATAGGTTTAAATTAGAAAATATATTTAAACAGCCTAGAATCGTCATTCGTAAATATTCAGAAAAGAGCTTACTCTACTTGTTATTATATCCAGTACCAAATTATATTTATCTAAGAAACTGACAGGAAAATTGCTACATAAAAAAAGGCAATAACATACAACAACATGGTCTATTAACCCAATAAGCATTTGTTAAAGGATCTTAAATTTCATACTGAAAGATCAAGCTACCCAAATGCCTTTATAGTGAAACCATATTTTATTAAATAGTCTTTTAAAAATATATAACAAAAAAAGGTATCTATTTTCAAAATCTGAATGGGGTGCTTACCTCTAGGCCAACTCACAAAGGATTGTATGACAACAGTCAGTTCAGGAAATTAAGCTGTTCTCTGGAAATGCATGTGAAAAACAACTGAGGTCACCGCTAGTCAAATAGAGGCAGTAAATAAAATTTCATGGAGAGAAAACAGTAGCAAAAAAGGAAAATCACTTACATGAAATAAGTTAACTTAAATAAGGTATACTTCTACTCTTATACATACGTACATGATCACATTTAAGTTTGTGAGATTTTAGGCAGCCATGCCAAACGACACATACACTTGACTCTGAAAAAATTTCTAGAGCGTTTTTAAAGAATGAACCTCAGGTTGACAATCAAGAAGCAAGATGCTCTCTCACATTTCCATCTAGTCCTAAGATTCTGTGGTCTTGGTTTACAGAAAGGTGACACACTTTTACTAGTGACACATCAGAAAGTGACAGGGGTAGCCAGTCAAATGAAGCTGCTTGTTGTCAGATGGAGCTGGCCCGCCACCTTGTGGCCATACATGCAATGAACACAACTTCCAGAAACCTGGCTGCGAAGGAGCCTGGGAAGAGCCAGGGCAAGTTCAGCCAAGTCTTTCAGTCACATCAAAACAGCATCAAACTCATTGCAGACAGAAGACAGGAGACTTATTTTCTTAAAGAAGTGCAAGAAGCTCACGTTACAGCCCGTACTCGTCTGTAGCAGGAGCTTCTATTTCCACAACTGGCACCAAGGAGCCTGTGATACACAGCATCTACCTGAGTTGTTCCCAGCACGGGCTGCAGAGCTCACTCGAGGGGTTTGTGAGAAGCAAAGACCCCAGACCCTGCCCTGAGCCCTCCCCA